ACTCTTTCCTGCCTATGCAGGGGGTCGGACTCGATGATCTGTTGAGGTCCCTTCCGATCCTAACATCTATGAATCTATGACCTCCTGAGGTCTCTTCCTGCCCTGTTTTTCCAAGATTTTTTCAAGCTGTCTCTCAAAACCCACTTCTACAGCAAAGCTTTGAGGGACAGATGACATTTTATAAGAGCATACACTTTGCCTGTTTGTCTCAACTTCTGTGTTATACTAAACTGTAAGCTCCAAGGCAGGGAGTATATGTCTGACAAGGCCTGGCACACGATGGATGTGAGCACGACACAGACAGAAGAATCAGAGGGTGTAAAAAGCCTTGTTCTCTCTCCAACACTGGTAAGCAAATATTCCCCATGAAATCCTAGCAGCCTCCAAATGTCACATTTGCGCCCCTTTTTCACAGAACAACATATTTCATTTCCTAACCACACCACCCCACATGCTTTACTATGCTCTATGTGAAGCATCAGATTCACACTACATTCACAATGGCTTTGTGACTTTATTCCTTACAATCACATGGCCTCGCAGGGTGGGGGGGAATGTGTATATAAGGAAACCTTAACCTTGCAAGTCTAGTGCCTATATGTTTATGGAGACAGGTGAACGTACGAATGTGAATAAGGCTCAAACAAAATTAAAGACAGATGCTGGGGTAGCAAGCTTACAGCAGACAGCAAACCAGTGGTTCTCAAACTCGTTAGATTGGGGTGGGCAAAATGCAGCCCCCAGGCTGGATGCAGCCTATCAGGCCATTCTATCCAGCCCATGGGGCCCCTAAAAAACTTAGAAAATTAATATTTCTCTGTCCCTGGCTGCCTGCCATGTAGCCCTCCATGGCTTGCCAAAACGCAGTAAGGCAACCTCTGCCCAAAATTATTGCCCACCCCTGTGTTAGACTCAAGGCAGTCTTTAGAAAACACCAGCTCAGAGCTTTCACTTCATTTTTGACTACGGAAATGTGATAGATTCTTTTGTTGCAGAGAATTCGAAAGGCCCAACACAAGGGCAGAATGGCTTTAAACCGTGAATTCCCATCTGAAATCTCTGGGTTTATCTTGTGACTAGAATCTAGTATTTATCTAGGATACTAGAACTAGGGGGTACCCACTGAAATCAGATTACAGGTTTAAAAATAACAAGAGAAAGCACTTTTTTATGCAACACACAGTCAACTTGTGGAATTCATTGCCACAGGAAGCGATAGAGGAACACGGCATAGCCAGGTTCAGAGAGTATCTGAATAAAGCCATGAATGACAGATCTTTTAATGGCTATTGAACAGAACAGAACAGTTGGAGATGTTTCTTCTGGCATCTCTAAACCAATAAAGGTGGATTTGGAGTGGGGGGAGTGGTGCTGAATAGGGGACACATCACCATAGAGCTATCTGGTTTGATGCTCTCCCTTTTAGTCATGCTAATCTTCCACTTCTGCCATGGTCAAACAGGCCTATTTGCTGAGCCAAGGGAAACAGACCTAGACCCACCAAGAAAACTATAACCACTAGGAGTGCAACTACTAATCTCAGGGGACAAAAAAGAAAAAAAAAAAGGGGGGGGGGGGGTCGGGGAGGGAAGCAATGGTCATAGGTTAATGAGGGATCCAAAGAGGGACAAAAAGAAGAGCATACTGACCAGCACCCATTACTCCCTAAATGAGTCGGAGGAGCTGGTGGATGCAGACCAGAGAAATTCTCCTTGGAGAATTGAGTGAAAGAGTGACAGGAAGACAGCCCCACGCTCACCTGGGTTTAACCCAGCCAGATGATCTATCCTGGTCTGGTGGATGAAGAGTTTGGCCAGAGCCAGGAGGAGGTTGGCCAAGAATTCCCAGGATTTGGTGGCGCCACAGACAGGGAGTTGCATAAAAGAAAAGGTGCAGGGAGTGGTGTAGCCAGGGCCTCAGCAAGAGGTTCCTGAGGAGGTGGAGAAGGGGGGCTGCAGCCTGGCACAGC